CAATCAAGTCATAGCCAATGAAGCCTCTGTGTGGGCATGGCCTTCTCCTGAGGATTCTGGGAACTCCTGTCATCCTCCCTGAAGGCGGGACACACTGTCTCTCTGCTTTACCTTCCTGTTGACAAGACACACGACTGCTGAGGGCAGCCAGAACCCTGGAGATGCTTCCATTGCCACTGGACCCACAGGACTTTCCGCCTACCAGCCTGTGATCTTCCTGCATTCGGCAACATTGCATGTGCTCCATAAGTCCGAAAGGAATTCATGTGCTAAGATCGGACTTATGGGCTAAAATCAAACTTAAGGACTTGATCTGGACTGGGCTGGGATGTTTCCTTAATATATAATTACTCTTTGATATAAAGCTGTTTCCTAGACGTATATGCGTCTCCCTGGCTTTGTTTCTCTAGTCTACCCAGATTAGCACAGATGGAATGGGATCTCTATGAACTAACTGCTTGGGTGAGGACTGTGCTCATTCCCCCAAAACATACTGAATCCATTAACGCCTTGTGCACACGATCACACCTACACATGATTACAAGCTGGACTGGACCTTTCTATATGTTGACCACCATTCAGACTCAAACACGGCGTATCCCCACTAGCAGAAGCATCAGGAAACTTGTTGGAAATGAATATTCTCAAGCCCCACTCCAGACATTCTGGGACCTTTAGTAATATAGCTTGAATTCTGTATTACTAAACACCGTATTTCTAAGTATTCCTTCCCGGCACTGCCCACCAAGGTTCCAGAGAGTTAACTACTAGCTGTCATGATAGATAGTCCATTAACTTAGTCAGGCTTAAAGTATTTCACTCCTTTCTCAAAGACCTGGGGTCTCCGACACATCCATCTTTTGCTCCCATCCCCCATGGCTGGAACTGGGGAGAGCCTTCTCAGGGACCTTAAGTAGGTAGAGAGGAACATGGACTTCAGAGACCATGGGAGTGGAACCACTTCCTATGAGTGAGCGTAGCATGGGAGTCTAGGGTGCTGTGGGGCAGGCAGGTTCCAGAGGCACCTTCAGCCAGAGAGTTGTGTTTGATCTGTTTTATAAAGTAGGGTTCTCAGTAAGATTTTGTTTACTGCCCCAACTCCTCAAAAACAAAACCAAATTCAAGGAGTTTTAGGGTTTATAAAAAAAAAATCCAAGGAGCTGCTACCAAGGGCGCAAGTAGAAAGAAAATGTTTTGAAAATGATGATGGCAACAAATAGACAAATGAGCTTGATACAATGGATGTATGCATTGTGATAAGAGCTGTATGAGCCCCCAATAAAAAGATTTTTTAAAAATCCATCTTAAGGCCATCCTTACTGTGTACAATAATGATGGCGGACTCTCTCACCACCACACTAGGCTGCTGTCCTGTGACCTGTCATGGGGCAACAAGTGAGAGCTCATTTTGGGCTACTCAACTGCCTTCGCAGCCTTGGGCAAAATATGTAACGATTTTCTTTCGCAGTTTCCACATGTGTAAAAGGATACGTATCTCATCGCTAGGGCTGAACTAATTAATCCCTGTAAACATGTAGCACAGATGCTGGCTAGAATAAGCATTCCACAGTGCCAGTTATTATTTCTCTTTCCAGCTCTCCATGATGTAGATTTATAATCTGGTTAGATGCAATCCTGGTGAAAGAGTGCTTGCTTCCTCCTATCCAACGGACGCTTGCGGCAGGGGCGACTGACATCTTATCAGTCACAACTCATCTTTTAAGCTTGGAATAAAAATAAACAAACAAACCCTCAATGCCATTGAATCGATTCTGATTCATAATGATCCTATAGGACAGGGTAGAACTGCCCATGTGAGTTTCCAAGACTGTAACTCTTTACGGGAAAAGAAAGCCCTGTCTGTTTCCCTTGAAGTGGCTAGTGGTTAGAACTGCTGACCTTGCGGTTAGCAGCAAGGTGGTCTGCAGATAGAGCGACCAAGGTGGTCTTTGGTTCAATGTGAATATTTGCGAGTAATTTTTCCCTGTGCATCCAAGTGGACCTTTGTATCAGAGAGATTGCAGGCCCAATGGTATATGGAGTGAGAGTGAGCAGTGGAGGCGCTGCCCTTGCCCCCCAGGGCACTCTGCCCTCTGAGTCAGTACCGTGTGCAGTTAAGAACTCTGCACACGCATGGAAAGACTGAACAGCCAAAGCTCGGACAGGATGGAGCTCTTCAAAGAATAATTCACACACACATTATCAAGATCCCAATTCCACCTCACAAATCCGGCTAAACCAGAGGATGTACACTGGTACAAATAAGAACTGGAAACACACACACACACACACACACACACACACACACACACACGAACTGGAAACACAGGGACTCCAGGACAGATAAAACCCCTCATCAGGACCAATAATGAGAG